ATTATTAAAATATATGCATTAAATTTATCACTGTTAACAAAAATAGAAATTAGCATTGTTGATACAAAACAAATAAGAAATAAAAGAATGAGATGGATGAAAGTGAAGGAAAAGAGTGCCGTAAATAAAATGAGCCAACAATCAAAACTGAAATTGATAAATAAATGTGAAAGAGATGAAGGGAAGAGAAGAAAGCATCGTATAGTTAACAAAAGGTCCAGTTAGCATGACAGCAAAATTTTTGATAAATACAAAAAATCAAATCATAGCTTAAGAAAACAACAACAATCAATCAACAATAATTATCAAATCGTATACTTTTACCTTTCATATATTTTTTTATTTTTTATTATCTTTCAAATTTTCGCTAAATTTCGTTCAATTCATAAACTGATCGTTCTGTAAAGGGAGACAATAAAACAAACTTCATTTTATTTTTCTACAATATCAGATACAAGCAACTGCAATGACATATGCATGTTTGTATCTGGTACTGTAGAAACAAATATATCTGGAATGGGTGTGAAAAAGAACAGTAGGGTTTAAATTTATAGATTAAAATTAAAAAAGTAAACAAAACCTTGTCATCAATGGTTTATCATCATCTGCAACAGCAGGTCGTTCGTTTACTCGACCAGCAACATAAAATAATCGTCCATCATCATCCTCAACATATCCATTACCTGCAAGCAATGAGAAGTTCATTTCTTCGCATAAAGTACGATTAGTATTGAAAGCAAATTTATTCACATAAAACATTTGAAAATTTTTGAAAAACTATAATAACCAAAGAAGGAATTATGCACTTTGACCAGAGTATTTACTCAAAAAGTTAATCTTAAGATAAATTATCTGCAACCTCGAATATAAAGTTTCCAAACCTTCTTCCCTCTCTGTTTTTCACCTTATCTATTTCATCTATTCCAAAATTAATTATAAAATCCATATTTACTTTTTGCGTTATAATAGTTTCAATACACAACCTTTAGCATCAATAACAACCCTTTCATTTGCCAGAAGTTTCATTTCTCGCTGTAATGACTGCATAGCATTTTCATAATTGATCCCAAATACTCTCAAATTCGGAATAGATTCTTCCAACAATAAGGCCGCTTTTGCAATATCCTAAAATATCCATTAAAATGTTACAATTATACCGTATAAATTTTTGTTTTTTCTTTGCATCAAAGGAATATTGTACATTTAAAAACTTAAAAGGATGAAAATAACCAATATTACTGTTTATAGAATACAGTTATTGCAATCTCCCTTGTCTTTTTATTATCTCGTTTTTTTTTCACGAAAACATAAAAATAGAAGAAATCGGAACCGTTTTCTAAACAATGTGATGACAGTACCAATATTCTGCAATGATAGTATCAAATACCTTTACATGATCCATTCCCTCCAGTCGAAGATAACGCAATTTCTTGAGCGTTCGTAGACCAGCCAAACCTTTGGCTGTGATTCGATTACAATCACTAAGATCTAGCATTTCAAGTGACTCCGAGAATAATGCACCAACCCGTGACATCATCCAATCGTCCGCATAACAACAACCAGCAAGTCTTAGCAATCGTAAATGTTTTAGGCCAAACAAATTTTCTAAACCTAAATTAACCATTAATCAAAATTTAAAAAAAAAAAAACTTTTAACTTACAAATCTTTCTTGAACTTACAAAATTTACAAAATTCTACTACGACTGTCAATATCATATCTTTATAGCTGCAATTTTTATTTTCAAAAAAATGAGATTATTCATGAATGTAAATTACAACTTCTTTTGTAACATAAAAATCAAAATGCAATTTGTATTATCCAGCAGTCATCAAATTTCAATGATTATCCCTAATTATTAGTAATATTCTAAAAATAAAACAAGTTTGAAAGTAAAATTAATTTAGAAAGAAATATTTTGAGCAAACCTTCGAACATCAACTCTGTATCACTTGCATCAATTGCTTCAATGTATAAGCCTGGAATCTTTTGGCCTGGTAATGTATAATTTCCTCTATCATCTTTCTTAATCCATACATTATCAGCAACAAACTTCACGGCTGCACCACGATGCACCAAAAAATGAGCAGCAGCTAAATCTGGGCCAAGAAATAATAAACGCTCCGGAATAAATCTAAAAAACTACAAGATATAACTTAAATAAACGATAACATTAATTCGATCACAATATCGATAATCCACTATAATTATATCGATCTCAAAATGATAAAAGATTTAGAAGATTATCCTAGCTTGACAAGAAGATGTTATGTTCTTTCTTACTTTTTTCTGATTATTTCATGAGCTAAATCATTTTTCTTTCTTTTTTTTTATTGGAATAAATAAAACTTCAAAATCAAAGAAATCCTTAAAATATCAAAAAATCAAGTAGAAGAATATGGTCAATCTAATGGAAACTATTTAATTGCATATAAAATTAAAAAATATNTTAATAAATTTTCCCCAAAATTAGAGAAATTTTCAAAATAATGAAAATTTGATAATTTAATATAAAAAATACTCCCATCCTGAAATTTAAATTATTTTTTCAGCAAGAAAGCATTTCCTCTGAAATATACGCTTTACGCTACTTGAAATTTGCCTAAATTCAAATATTGCTATTTAATGCAAATAAAATAGCACTGTAATAATGGACTATCATCATTGAATTCTAGCCTAGCAATAATGCGCAGTTGTTCTACGATATTATATTATTTGAAATCATTAATCATCATCACATTATTAGTAACACTTCCAATTGCATTTTCTGTGAAGTGTTTTTCGAGCCTACAAAAAAATCAAGCAGAAGAGTGTGGTCCGAATGGATATTGCTTTCTATTTAATGGAAGTGATTTAATAACATATAAAAAGACTATCCGCGGTTGTGATAATAGTTTTGTATGCGAGGTAGGAATGTAATCATTCGTCATGTAATTACAACTAATTCACTTTTTCTCTTTTTTACTATGGAAACAATCACCTAAAAATGATGTGATAATTAAAATTTCATCATATTCATAAATTTAACTCTATTATTCATTGGAAATAATATAACATTCACATATTTTACTGTTCATGTTTACTATACATATATGTATACTATGTAGCATCAAAAAATTATGAATTTAAATTAAAGGTTATGGTTAATAATATAACGAAAGAAAAATATTATCCAGTTGGTGAAATTGTACATGATACATTAAATAAAATGTATTGTGCCAAAAATATCGCAATACGCCCAACTCAGGAAGAGCAAGAAATGTATGGTACGCTATGTTGCTGTGATCATGATTGGTGCAATGTAAATTACAAGAATGAACCAGCTAATGATTTAGATAGAATTTTTGAACTTGATCGAGGTACCATGCAAGATTATTTATTATTGAAAAAAATTGCCCAAAAATATGGCATTAGCTAAATTTAATCATCCTATATATTTTTTTATCTTACTGTTCACACTCTGTGATATTTATTCCCTTACATATATTTGATTAGAATAATAATTATCATATTAAATAAGTGCTATTTTTTGTTCCTTTTCCCTTCATAATTCTATTTTTGAAAAATACTCCTTCCCAATCATTTGTCTTATCATTACTACTTGGATACCTCATTTAATTCCTGTTCTCTCAACAGTGATAACTGAAATATGCATCAATTTCTTCCTGCCAAAAAACTAACACTCTCAGCGAACTGTCTACTTTTATCACAAGCTTCGTTTAATCAGCTAATTAATCGATCAGTCTTTAGTCAATATCGTACTATGTATTTTTCAAACATCGAAAATTTTTCAAAATTTCACATTATATACTTAAATTATTTTGTTGTATTCGCATCGATGTGCTCAATAACGAATTAACATGAACATGTGAAAGTGATAGAACATAATCGCATAAGTCAACAATTTCTGTAGCGTATATTGCTGCATGCTAACGAAATTCTCTTTTTAATAAATGCGATTTGACAATCTTATGATATTGCTCTACGTTTTAGATATTATTGAAAAATCGTTCAATTATACAAATAATCTCTATAAAATAATCTGACACTTCCGGACCATTTGCAAGTTTTCCTTCAAGATTATCTTTCCCATTCGGTTAAATCAGAATTATTTTTGCAAATATTTTTATATAAATTCTTTCAACTTAGAATGAATCATAATACTAATGACAATAATAGGTGAAAAAAAACAAATTACCTTTGATCATATTGGAGATGTTGGAAATGTTCATAACGTTTAAAGCGCCGTAAATTATCCAAACTATGATCGACATATCGTAGTTGCGTATAAAATGTATTAAATTCGATATCATTTGGTATATCCTCCGGTTGTTTCTTTGGCATGACTGAAGTTTTTGTCAAAAAATTAATGCTAATACAACACTTAAAAATTAAATCTAAACAAATAGAAGAAAAAAAGAACAGGTTGGAAATTTTTCTAACAAAAATTATTCAGTAATCTATCTTTTACCGAAAGTTGTTATTGATGTTATCAAATCCTACCAACAACTGATCATAAAATTTCAAAACAATTATCATTTGGCATAAAAAGAACGTCAATCATGAAAAATCAAGTGGCAAACATTTACAGTCATTCCCAGTTTTTGTAATAAAAAAAGAAAAATATCATTTTTTTATTTCATATCTTATTTCGATTATAATGCTTAATCGAAATTGAGT